CCCTGCCCCTCCCACTACCCCTACCCCTTTGGACCTTTTCTTCCTATTTTGCATTATCGATTATTCATTCTAATCATTGGTACATTTTAGGTATCCAGTATAATGACATTCATCATTGGAAATTTGCACCTTTACATAATCTTTCTTCGTTCTTATTTTTCACCCTTGCCCAGCCCTCCCTTCAACCCCTCCATTCCTCTCTATTTACAAAGATTTTGTTCCTATTTTTCCATTTCCTCATATTAATTCCATTCCTTTCTTTCCTTTCCCCTACCCCTCCCACTTCCTTCCCTTTTGCCCCTTTTCTTCCTATTTCACATTGCGTATTATAAATTTCAGTCCTCATTTACACTTTCAGTTTCTCACACCAGAGAAACTATTCAGTATTTATACATGTGCTTTGCACACTCATTTTAATGAGAAACAACAGGAATATGTTATTTTAAACATCCTCCTACTGAAATAAGATATTTTCACGACAAAGAGCACCTTAGGAATTTCATGAATACCAAACCACCACTCCAAAAAATTTTAGACAATATCCTAAGAACAGACAATGAGGATCACAACCCCAGGAAGCACAGCAGAATGAACCCATCAGGCACGACAAGAAATTAAATTTAAAGGGGGAGAATCCAACAAAAAGAAAACGTCATGACAATGATAAGTCAATACATATCAGTTATAACCATCAATGTTAATGGTCTCAACTCACCAATCAAAAGAAATAGACTGGCAGAATGGGTCAAGAAGCAAAATCCAACAATATGCTGCATACATGAACATACTTAATTCAAAATGAAACTCACAGACTGAAAGTTAAAGGGTGGAAAAAATACTCCATGCAATGGGAACCCGAAAAAAAGCAGGAGTAGCTATCTTCTTTGCAGATCAAGTAGATTTCAAACCAACACTAATTAAGAGAGACAAGGACACTACATCCTTGTAAAGGGAACAATCCAACAGGAAGAGATGACAATCATAAATATGCACCAAACACTAGTGCACCCAACTATACAAAACAAATACTAACGGACATGAAAAGTCATATATGCAATAATACAATAGTAGTGGGGGACCTCAATACCCCACTATCACAAATAGATAGATCAACTAGTCAAAAAATAAGTAATGAAATACTAGAACTCAATCGAACTCTTGAACAAATGAACTTAACAGATGTATACAGAGTCTTCCACCCCACAAAATCAGAATACACATTCTTTTCAGATGCATGTGGGTCATTCTCCAAAATAGGCCACATACTCGCTCATAGAACATGTTTAAGGAAGTGCAAAGGAATTGAAGTTATCCCCTGTATATTGTCAGACCATAGTGTGATGAAATTGGAGATCCATAGCAAAAGAAACCGGGAAAATTTCATAAACACATGGAAATTGAACACACTTCTGAATAAACAATGGGTCACAGAGGAAATTAAAGAAGAAATCAGACAGATCCTACAATTAAATGACAATAACAATACAACATATCGGAATCCATGGAACACAATGAAAGCAGTCTTACAAGGGAAATTCATAGCAGTGAATACACATATTAGGAAAACAGAGTGAGCCCAATTAAACAACCTGATGCTGAACCTCGAGCTTCTAGAAAAAGAGCAGGACAACCCCAAAGCTCATACAAGGGAGGAAATTATAAAGATCAGAGCAGAGATCAATTCAATAGAGACAGAACGATACAAACAATGAAGCCAAGAGTTGGTTCTTTGAAAGAATAAACAAAATTGACAAATCTTTAGCCAACCTTTTCAGGAAAAGGAAAGAAAAGGCCCGAATCCATGCAATTAGGAATGAAAAGGGTGAAATTACAATGGACCCAGCAGAAATCCAGAGGATCATCAATACCTACTTCAAGAACCTATACGCCAATAAGATAGAAAACACAGAAGAAATGGACAGATTCCTACATACATATGAATTACCAAAGTTTTATGACGACCTAAAAATTCTAAACAACCCAATGTCAACCAATGAAATTGAAAAGATAATTAAAAACTTACCAACTAAGAAAAGCCCGAGGTCCTGATGGCTTCACTGCTGAATTCTACAAGACATTTAGAGAGGAACT